TTTTTTATGCCAACGATATTACTCGACTGACGAACTATGGTATTTGCGAATTTTTATTGACATCTCGAGATAGTCAATAAGTCAATCGAACTAGGTTTTTGCACGTATATTCTGATACCTACATTAATCTTGTACAAACCTTTAAACGATTTTCAATACTTTCGATTTAGCTCACTTTCCTAAAGGACATAATCATTTATCGTCCTTAACGGTATTCTAATCCGTGTTCTAATCTAACGAGCGTTCAATAATAGTACGCAACGAGACCGTGATCGAGGTGATTTTCGATGTAGGAAGAGCAACGGCGACCGAATCGAATGCACGCGCGCTTTGTGTGTCCACTGCGATCGAGTATAACCGGTTCGTTTCGTTCAGTTCGGTCCGGCTGGTGATCGATGCGTTTCTAGATCCTGTTTCGAGCTGTGTTACGAGCCACACGGACCTAGGTTAATCTACGATTTAAGATATCCACGGCCAGGCGATAACTCCGGACTAAGATAGCTCCGATAGCCGTTCGAAGGCTTAACTTAGGACGCAACGTGACTTACGGAGGTTCGTTCGAATACGTGGAACAAAACGACCGTACAATCCCTATTAAACCTAACAGGATGTGTGCAACCGGACCCTAATGATATCTTTTATCGTTTCTAATTTGCTCAATGCAATCGCTCGCAACTATTTCGCTTCTAAAATCAATTAGATCAACCATTTAATGAGTTAACCATTGTAAACGTTTTTAGTTCTAGAAAAAAGTTTGGGAACGATCGATTTGAATGGTAGGTTTAGTGTTAAAGAGAGGAAGGTTGGATGCTAATTTTTCAGAGGGCAGGGCGGACCTCGCGTGTTCTAACGTCGGACGAAATCACCCAAATGCAGCCTCTAATTATGTCGTCACGCTGCGGGTGTTCAATTTGTCGACACGCATCCCGTCTCACCCTCCGACATCTCCTATACTATCCTTGCCAATCGTCTTACAATCCTTACCTATTCTACAACTCTTAATTGATTCTCACGTAGCAATTCTTACAACCAATTCAACAGATCAAATAAATTGATTGAAACAAGAATGCCTCCTATTTCCAATCAGCAAAGTTGAAATTCTGATAAGTTTTTCATATTGGCGTTTTATATTAACGAATGATTAGAAGTTGCATATAAAAGAACATGGAAATATCATATCAAATTGAGGATTCGATACATAAATGAACTAAAAAATATCAAACTACACTACATGTTGATATTTGATTTCGTAAAAATGTTAAGCTGTTTAGAAGGCTGAGGTCTGGATGAAACACAGAATTAGCTCAACGAGAACCGTCCTAATGACAATCCAGACTTGCCTGACAGGCAGTGTAAGCGACTCGTTTTAAATAGCGTTAAGGGTACTTACATAACTAATCATGGGTATGTTGCGGGACTGAGCGACTATGGCTTCAACGTAACACGAGCCCTCTGGTCCAAAGAAGGCTGCAACCCCGTCGCAGATCATATCGATCATTGCCTTGGTGGCTTCCACGGTTTCTCCCCTCGTGTCGCTCCATCGCATCACCAGTCTTACGTTCGGTAGTATATCTGGATTCTTGTTGATCTGAACAAAACATTAATTACTTTTTTAAATACAAAACATTAATTATTTTCGCGTACATTATTAATCCACACAAAAGAATAATTATTAGACTGCAGATTTTATCCACTGATAGGAAAAGAACATAAAAAATACGAAAGTATATCGACGGTAAAATGCATATCATGATGTCTAATAGATTAAAGGAAATTCTTATTAGACTTTTTTAAATCGATATCATACGAGTTTTATTTTGCATAAGAATTCGCAATCTACTCAGATCATTCAACGTTATGCAATCTATTACGGAGAATCCTCATCTCTTTCCTCATACGATATTGAATTACAATAATTGAACAGTGTCACGAGATAGTGATCGCGAACTGTGGGTTAGCATACTTTAATTGTTTCGAGCAATGCCACCGCGGCGGTCGGACTGTTTAATGGAACTAATTGCGTTACCATAACTTCTCTCATGAATATTCATCCTATTGTAAGTTTTAGCCATCACGGACAATGTATCCCAGTTGCATAAATCACAGATGACGTAGGACAACAGATTGATAAGCGATTGCTCGACAATCGGATTGATTGAACTTTCTACTTGACATAATCGATATTACAATCTTAATCAATTAAATTCTGATTCGATTCGGGATAAAGATAGGCAGTTGTTTATAATGAAAATATAAAGTTTGCCTGAGATTGGTTTATGTTCTTTTGTGATAGATAGAACATTCCTGGTTAGATAATTTATTACAAAATTTGATACATGATTATTACTACATGATTTATTACATACTTACTATAATTTTTCAATTAAAATAGTCTCTACTCGTTACTTGGAATATCCCTTAGATTTTTTAATAAACAATAAACAGTTGGAAACGTTTTAAGACATTCAAGAAGCGGCGCGCGTGCTCGATCATTATGCAAATCTGAATTCCAACAATACTATTTCCAAGTAGTAGTCGACACGTCAATTTACGTTCTTACGCGGCGGAGGTTGAAATTCTAACCCGCTCAAACGGTAAATCCTTCTTTAGGAAATCCACACCGTTGTACCGAGTTATTTTAGTGAAAAGGTCGATAAGAAATTTACGACTCGGGTACCGCTCGCTCCGAAGTCATTTCCTTAAAAGTAAAAGTGATTAATGGCATTGAGATCTTTAAACGCATGAGCGATGTCTCTTTTAATCCTTTCCTCGCAGGCTAGCAAATAGGAATAAAACAACAGTTGGCTACGCTCTTTTTATAACAAAAAGAAAATGATCATTCAATTGGCCGGAGAAAAATCCCCGCGGTAAAAAGAGCCTGTTGAATTTCAACGTAAGCATGACTGGCTGAACGGTCAGTTCTAATGATAGTGCGATAATCGTAGCAATTTTCTTCAACGCTTTTAGATCTGGAGTACCGAGTGTTAATAGCGCTCACGCATCTCTTCTAGGAACAAGTTGAGATCAATTAAACGCGCACGAAACACGGTTATTACGTAAGGAAAAATCATCGAGCCGCGAGGGGAGGGACTCGACGATTTTTCGTATACACTCCGCTTCTGACCGGGAGTGGAACCGTTAAAAGCGGTCTCGAAGCGGCGCTATAAAAAATCATTGCTCTTCCCGTTGAACGGTTCGCATTCCTGATTTTGCACCTGCCCGGACGACCCACCGAAATGCCAACAATAATGTCCCCCCTTCCACCTTCGATTCTACTGAATGAAAGTTGAAACTCGTTCTCACGATTAAGTTGTATCTTCTTAAGACGTCTCATCTGTTGGTTTATTTTATTCCAGATGGACTTTAATTTCCAATCATTTCCCGACGCCGTTAAAAGCATTAATGATAATATTGGCACGTGAAATGCATGGAGGCGATTATTCTAGTTGTAATCCTCGCTAATGAAATTAGGGAACTGACAGGCGATTAAGGGCCGGTGTCTGCTCGTTTAAATTCTGTTAAAAAAAAAATGTGGGATCTCGGGGACAAGTAGATTTCCCCGGAGAGCTGTCTGCGAGCGTGAAACATTGTTCACAGCTAGTGTCCGTCCACTTGTGCCGTTGCCACTGGCAGGGTTTCACCAATCAGCTTATTTTCGAGTAATTGAAGGGCGTCCGGTCGTGGAAGGCTGTGAGCGCGAATGCCAACCTTCAGGGACGAGAACGACTTTGCCACGTTCAAAGGAAAAACGAATGTAAAAAGTAAAGGAAACAAACGGAATTTTTTTTATAGTAAATTCCCGATGCATTACAATTGGGAGAACAAACTTTCAAGTCGGGTTGAAAACATGCGCGAGGCAACTGAAAATTATTTTTGTCATGTGGTTTCAATTCCATCAAATTAAGGCTCGACAAAGACGATGGTGAAATCGTTTCGGATGATTTACGAGCGTTCAAGCAGCTGCCGCGAACGATTTGCCTGAAACGCGAGCGAGAATAATTTAATTCCACGCAAAAGAATGCTCGTACCCTATTTACAAATATCGCCGGAGCTAAACTAGTTAGATCGTGGGAGTGCGTCATAGCGAATTCCACGATTTTTTCCCCGGCTCGCGAATATCGCCGGCAGCGAGTTGGACAAGGTGCACCTGCACCACGTTATTGCAAAAAAACAGACAGGTAAACGTTAAGCGCGATTCACTTTCCTTCCTCGATTATTATGTTAATCGAAGGCCTCGGTAAGGATCCGCAAAACGATCTCGCCCCGCTTTCTTGGTAAACAAGCTCAATTAACCGGCGCTGTATTTCAAAAGAAGTTCAGTATCATAAATTACTTAATTAAATTAATTTGGTGAATGAAAATCAAAAGGCATCTGCTGCTATAACATTTGTGACTTGCTGCAAAAATGTCTGCACAAACATCAATTAAAACTGACATTGAGCTTGGAAACAATAATTATTTGATGCAAAGATCGACATTTTAATTTCTGTCCAGGAATGAATATAATCTCAACATTTGTAGAAAATACATAAGCTTTAATTCTCCATTTATAGAAACGAAATTTGAAACAGTATAAAAGTTTCTATGTCAGAAATTAATTGAACCTGAATTTGTTAACATAAATGTTAATATTTCAACATCATAGATACTGACACTGGTACTTTTTCATATAAATTATGATACTTTTTTAAAAATCTCAACTCCTGTATAAATTATGATACTTTTTTAAAAATCTCAACTCCTGTTCACGGAATCAAATATATTAGAAGCGAACGTGGCCAGGCGGCGTCCGATCACGGAGGAACTTTCACCGCGGCACAGCTAAAAATACCGCATTATTTCCTTGTTATGCGCCGGTCGCCGGAGACCGATATGAAACAAAAAAAAAAGAATCTTTGCCAACAGGTCACGCACCGAAAATAGCTTGAACTCGGCCGGCTCTCGTTTCCGTACATTCGACGTGGAAACGAGCTGTGAGCCAGACTTAAGGCTTCGCGAGCAGGGAGGCCGATCGCGATGCTTACTCTTGCGTGGCGCGCGTATCTGTATCGAAGTACGTAAATAAACGGGCGCAAATCTCGTTTCCTGCACTTTTCCACGTCCGCCGCTCACAAACGCCGAATTGTCTCCGGCTTATGGTGTGTTCAGACCAAACAGAATGTTCGAAATTATTGAAACATTCATTCACCAATTTTTTAAACCAGGTTTCCAGTTTCGACAGTCTTATTGTCATCGTCAATAACTAATACTACTATTTATTAATAATTATTGCCGATGGTAATAAATGTAGAGAAAATTTTATTTTTAAAACTTCATTTGATCTGACATAAAACGACTATCAGTCTCCTAAAGTGAGGACAAGCATTCGGCTAATCTAAACATATCAGCCGAATTTGATGTCAACTTGAGTTGAAGTACACGGAAACGATCGAGCAATTTGAAAAACGACTTGACGGTTTAAATTTGGAAGGTGCGATAAATAAAAGCGAGAGTCCGGTGAAATACCCGAATAATTATCGGCGTAACTGCGATCCATCTTTGACGTAACTTGTTATTTCGAAGTAGAACCGGATACGAGGTCCGCGATACGATCGGGCGGTTATTTCGACGATTCCCAGAGGTTTCGAAGCGGGCCCTTTCCTTCCACGTATGTACACACGTGCGCGCTTACGGTTACAGGTTGCAAAAGAGTGCAACAACACTTGGCTGGTTCGGGAGAAAAAGCGAGAGGACGAAGAAGAAGAAGATGAAGAAGAAGAGAGAGGAAAGAACCGAGGGAAGGGGGAAGATGAAGGTGTACGAGGGAGAGAGGATCGAAGGAGGAGGTTTTTCGATCGCGAGCGAATTCTTCTCACGGTTGCGAGAGCGCAGTTTCGTCGGCGGACGCGTGGGCGGACCGGCGAATAATGCCGGTCTTGTATTTTTAAACCCTCGCACGAATCGGCATCTCCGTGGAGAGAGGTGCCGGGTCACTCTTCTCCGCGCGCTGCAGCGGGAGCTGCAGCCGGTACCACCTTTCTCTTTTTTTTCCCCTCTCTTATTCGGAGTGGAAGGCTCTCTCGCCGACCGGCGAAAACGATCTCACGGCCCTCCGCGACCGCGCGCCAAGCCGATCCTCTTCTCCAATGAATTATCGAGCCTTCCAGACCGTGGCCGGGCCCGACTCGCGATGCTGACCGCCTGCAGGAAAAAACTCCTGAGACAGGGGGCCCCGCGATATTGCCCGGGCCGCACTTTTCGGCTGGTACCCGAGATTCGCCGCGGCCCGCAACGTGGGAACCGTCCGAGTCCGCTACCGTAATTAGGGACCCACCTACCGGACCAGACCAATTTCCACGTGCACCGTGACACGCGAGAACACGTGGAAACCTAACAAGCCCGAGCAAGATAATGGGAACAGTTTCTTATCAAACATCTTTTTGCTTATTACTTACACGTTTCGTCAATTATTTACACTGAATCAAAAATACGTTGGCAAAATAGTAGGTGTAGAAATTAATTCGGTGCCTTGATATTAAACTATATGTAACTCTATTTTGAATTGTTCAAATCTGGTCGGACTTTCAATACAGATCGCTATAACAAATGTATAATTGCTTTATAAGTAAAAATTAAATTTGTATTTAAAAAGGCACCGGATTCATTTATACACGTACGAGTTACTTATGTACATTTGAATCTGAATATTTGGAAAGCTGAAGGGTGGCTCACCTCGTCAAGGGCCATGGAGAACGCCCCGGAGATGGCAAGGCCCTGGCGGTCTTTCAGCCCGCCTTTGATCGCAGTGAGGTATCCGATGGTGAGATTTTGCTGTTTCCTCGGCTGATCGGTTTTCTGGTGAGATCTTGAGAGCGCCTGTTGCCTCTCGGCCCCGTGTACACCTGGCGGCTCGGCCAGGCCCAGAATCAGAGGGCTGCTGGCCAGCAGCAGCAACACCAGCAGGGCCCGCGAGCTGCTCCCTAACGAGCGTGACCGCGGTGGCGGTTGCTGGTGGTGGTAGCGATCACGCCGGTGCCGTCGATTACGTTCCTGAGGGACTTCTTCCTGGCGACGGGGAGGCCTGCGGCGGCTCGGCTGTACTGGCGGGCCGGGGCGCATGGCCGCCGCCGCCACCGGTCAGCACCGCCTCCCTCCCGCTCACCTGCAATCACACAATTTCACCCGTTCTTAAAAAAAAAAAACCATTATTTTCTAAAATAAGGAATTCTGCAATCGATTTTCTCACAAGTTTCAATAATTCAATGATTTTATGCATAACAGAAATGGTGATTACTTTTACAAACACTCAAATCATAGCTGAAATGATTGCTTACTAGGAGTACCTTATTAGCAAGTCTATGAGGAATCTATCGTACACTGATCACTCGTACTTTTACTAAAGTGTTAATACCGCTGATAAGAATGGTAATTGTCTCATATTTAATTCGACGTTTCAAACAAGTGGTTGAATTAAAATTTTGTATTAGCATAAAATCGTAATGACGTATATGTAGATTCTAGTCTATCATCTTCTAAGCTAAGACTCGTCCAGCAAGTACTTTCGACTAGCTACAAAACTTTCTGCCATTCGAAAGAATTGTAAGTCGGGCAATTACATACGAACGCTCAACGTGTAGGCATGATATCTTGACTAAACCAGCACTTATCATCGGCCGCCACTTTATTCGCCGAGTCATCACGTGTGCCATCTGCGCGAGGCATAATAGCCGATACATACTCATATTATGTACTCCTAAAACGATAGAAACTACTCGACTCACGCCTACCTATTTTCCGTATCGATTATCATCTCCGCGATCGTCCCGCGTCAATTTCTTGCCGGAAAATCCTTAGATTTATTACAGCATTGAATCTCGGTGCAATCCCGAGGCAACCTTGCACCTACATTCCGAGTTAAAACTGAGTCACACATAGAGGAAACGCGTGGCGCATTAAGTCATTAGATCTCGACAATCGGATATCAATGATCTCTGGGAAATCTTGCGTCAGACGCTGGAGAGGGAGACGTAAAGCGTAGCAGCTTGATGACTGATTTATAATTACTCTGCGGATTTTTATGTAAAATAAAACATTTATGCTATCAACTTATAAATATAAATAGAAAATAGTTGCATTATTTAACAAATGCGATATGCATGTAGCTTCTAGTGATATCACAAACGTCTTTTATATTTCCTACACTTCTTTCCAATAAATGCATAAAATCTGTAATTTATTTATAATTATAATTTAACTACTCGGATGAGTATAAAAGAAGTTCAAGAACCTTGTTATTAACCTAGCTCATTAAGTAGATTTAAAGAGCTCTCACCTCTTTAATACTTTAATACAAATCCTTGAAAATGATTAAAGCAGGGATAATACCAATTTGGCAATGCGATTAAGCGATTCCACGTTGAAACCGATGGAGAACAGTCGCGAGGAAAAACACGTGGCTGGCCACCAGGAGGGACACACCTGTTGCAATTACGTAACGAGCCGCGTACTTCGTAGGCGAGAGGCTGACTGTGTAGCCTATAACCGACCGCACGTATGTACACAGCGCGGCGACAATAAAGACATCTTTCCCTGTCTGTGGTGTCACTCCGAGCAGCATTAACTTTCGACTCCGTTCCACGATTCTAAAGTCAGCTGCTTGTTAATTGTACGATAAGACTGTATAGAAATCATATTATTTTATTTTTTTATTTTATTCGGAGAATTATTTTCAATAAATTCCTGTTTTCGAAAGACATCCATGAGATTGTATGGTGTCACACAGATATATATTCTATCTCCGTATCTTATTTATTTATACATAGGAATTTTGCTTTTTGTATGAAGGAGTGACAACTTTTAACTGAATAGCAATCTGCCTTATAACCGTAGATTTTATGCATTCATAAAAAAATTCAATTAGACATGTATGTAATGTAATGTAAAACTGAGTATACATCAGTAATTGACTGATAAAAATTCTGTTTATACCACATTTTCAAAATTGATAGGAGAAGAGCTTCGCTTTGCATAAAAATCCACTTGTGAGTTTGTTTGAACATCTCTAGCTAGTTTTAATTCAGATTTAATTACAACCGTCGGTGAAAGCCACAGCGAATTTATTTGACAGCTTGACATTAAACGTGGGGGCTTCAAAAACCAAGTGAAGATTAGCGACAACCAGATCCAATGAAGATTGAAATTCTAAAGACTTGCATAGTTTTAATTGGTGTCGTCATAATTAGGAATTGAAATTAATCAGAGAGAATCTGTGGCCATTCAATATTTTTATACGAACATACTTATTTTTGTGCTAAAACAAAAGTCGTATTAGCGAAAAGGTTAATACGTCGGTTTTAGTCAAAAGTATTGAATAATAAAATGCACCGTTCTAAAAACTTCCAAGACCTTCTAGTTTGATTAGATAGACTCAAAGCGGCGTTGAGGCCATCGTTAGGCATGTTTACCACCGTCGTGACTATCGGACGGGTTTCGTCGCAACAAATCTCGCGGGATCGTTTTAACGATCGAGGATCGCGCAGAAATTTTCGACCTCGGCCTTTCTCGCGGCCATAATCGCGCACACGCATCTTCCTCTCTCTTCGCGGAACGATCCAATCGTGGCTTTCGTCGATGTATCATCTGGTAGCGAACACGCTTTCTCCTCGACGACTTTTATCGCGCCTCCAACGTGGAAAAGTGCGGAATCGTGACCTCGGGTACGTTTTATCAATTATTTGTGTTACAAGACACGTCGTGAAAACGGAGACGACTTCTGTGCAGAGTCTTCACGCGACGCTATTTATTTCTAGCCACTGTTGAAGAACCTCGTTAGCTTGGTTAACAAGTTATGGTATAACACGTGTCCTCCATATGCTTTTTCGAAATTTTCCGAATTTTTCATATAAATGAACACTTCACATGATACTATACGCGCTAATAATCAATTAAAAGTTCACTGCTTTATCATCAATCTCAATGATTTATTGCTCATTAGATTGCGGCCTTTTTGCATTTATGAGGAAAGTGAATATGCAAAAAATATAAACACTGATATATAGAATAGAAACACAATAGGAATGTACAAAATACCACAGGCAAAGTGCATATTGTAATGACTAAAAGATAAAAGAAATTTCTACTGTAAGTACTGTAAAACACATTTTTTTAAACTGTTACTAAAAATAGTGTTTCTTTTCTTACATGTAATTAAAATTTTTTTGTCAATTGTTTGCAAGGTGATCAATCTTTTTCAGGCAATAAGAAAATCATTCAGGTGCATAATAAAGCAATGAACTTGTTTGAAAATAACACGGGAGACGGATAAGGGTTACATGAATTATATCTCAGTCTCCTTGACAGTGGCAAAAACGGTTTAAGTCACGTCGTTAACCGTTTTTCAAAGCACGTTGCACACCTATATTTGCGGGCAAAGATCGTACTTTTTTTCAATCGGGTAATTTGTGTCGCAAAAACCGGCGGCAAACGAGACCGCCTGGTTATTAAAACGCCTCGATACGCTCGAACCGTGCGGCGTGACGAATTTTTCATGCGTCCCTCGCGAGTAAACTTCCTCGTCAAACATTGGGATCACAGGCGATTAGACGAGGGTATCTAAAAGTAGACCGAAAACACTTTTTATTACCTAGGAGCGTACCAGTCGAATTTATTTTCACCCGAGAACAGTATTGCGTTAGGCGTTCCCACAGGTAAAGCAAATACAGGCTTTTGACGTGTATGATACGAAAAGCAAATTGGATCTGATAAAGCTCTAGGAATAGAATACTGAAAATGACATACTTAATCGTTGAATCAACTGACTAAATCAATTAAGTTATTCGGAAAGATCTCTTGCTTTTCCTATTTTCGTAGAAATTGTAATTAACTCATAGTCACTCTACTATCCAATGTAAAGGAGAAAAACTAGCTGACATCTTTCACATTCCTTCAGATCCAAAAAAAGACCCCTTACACTCCTATTGTGATACTTGTTGATCTTGTTAAAGAAGTATCTTGGGATAAACTGGTTGCTCTTTCTAATGCAGTTCCACTACCATTCACGTCGAGTCGATCACGCTCCAAGACGAATCGGCGAGGATGCAGTGACCGCCGGTATGCGTCAGGCATGCGTTTACGCAATCCAGGGTCAACACTCGCCGTGCATATCATTTAGATAAACAGTGATAACTTTGTATCCTTGGCTACAGTTTTGCCTTATTGATCGGTCAGCGTTCAAACCTTTTCAGGGAATCGATTCTGTGGACTAACACCCCCGTTCATAAATCTTACAATTAGAAAAATTAAATCTTTCTATAAAATGTGTGATCGAAGAGTTTGAATGAACAAATTTAAATTGAACCATTGATAAATAAAGTATTTAATATTTTGAGACATTTTTGAAAGCATAGCTTCATCTCTCCCAGAATTATAATTGATTTAATGATTTAGTAAAACCTTTCAATTCAGATAATGCCTGACGGTTACTAATTCGTTTCTTTCATCATGTACGATAACCACTAGCAAGTGCATAAGAGTTTATGTTTATATTTGTTTGAATGTTTATCCAGCAAGATATGATTCGACTGTCGTCTGCTCCGAGACTGTTAAAGGGCCTCTTGGGCTCGATCGCAGCACGCTATGTAACAGTTTGTTTTCGCACACGTGATACATGTAATACGGGTTCTAATGCGCCTCGTCTCTATAGTATATCGCGTTACAAGGGGTAATTGAAGAACGATATGCATATAACGTTGTACGAGATGTGCACACGTGGGGATTGTCATTATCGCAGCTACACAGTACATTAGAGTGTTTCGTGTCGATCTAATATATCACATTACTACTGTAAACTGTTCAGGGGTGTGGCTCCTCTGATCACCACAGGACATACACGCGCCACATCACGTGTGTCGTTCGTTACAACTCATGGTCCACTTACAATATTTTAATTAGATCTTTTTGATTTTTTATAAATTCATTCTCGAATTAATTCGACTATAGATTCTTCTAAAAACACTTTTTGTTGTACTTATTTCATGCCAAAATTATAGAAAAATACGCCAGCGAGTTTTGGAGATTTTGAAAATTGGGTCATTTCCCTTAATTTCTCTTGGGACAGTTGAAACTCGGAGCACGTGGCTGACCGTTTCGAGCGCACGCGCAAGC